TTATTACACATTGGGGTGGGTGGGGGAGGGTTGCATTAAATTTCATAGAAGAGAAAAATCTACTGTTTTTCAGCTGGGTATCTGACACACACAGAAACCCATCGCTGTGCTTAAGAATATCCAACCCAAACTCAGAGCCCCATGCATCCCACCTACATATGGATATTCCCCAGTGTTTGGAGGGACTTAAGCTGCTTACCTAATTCCAAAGAGTATTAGGAGCAGGTTGGCAAGAGCCAAGGTTTAGGGTCGTCAAAGGGTGCGTTGGGGTACTGCAGGAGTCTAAAACCACATAGCTTGTCATTGAGATCAGTATCTGGTGGGATTCTGTAGCCTGTGGTTACAATTGATAATAATAATCCTTGCATTTGATATAGCGCCTTATCAAGTCTTTGAGATGTCATAAAGCTCCTCACAGAATACACTGTAAAGTGAATTGACTCTATATCTTTTGGGCGAAATGCAGCAGCCAATTTTCAACAGCAGTGTCCCACAAACAGTCATGGATTGAGTCACCAACAGAGATGTGTGGAGTAAGGTTTCGCCCCACCCGGGAATCGAACTGGGTCCTCTCGCTTGCGAGACTAGTGTTCTAACCAATAGGCTACAGAACTCCACAATTGTATCCAAGGAGGAGGAGATGGCGTTGGGCGTCTAACAGGTAGCTTCTCTTACAGACTCAATGTTTCCAGTCTGCATTCTCTCCTATTCTCAAAGGGTCATAAATCAGCATTGTAAAAACACAGGCCCTTTCCAGCACATCTGACATATTCACAATGACCAGCCCGTAAATAAGGCTTCATCTAGGTCAAGCACTCGGCACAGCTTTCTTTCGTTTTTCAGGCTGCCTGTCATATTTTACGTCTGTTTAGATTTGGGCTTATAATTACACCCAAAAAACGATGTAAGCAAACACAGCTGCGGGTTTTCTGAATAAATGCTATTTATACCGGGAGGGTTTGGAGATTGGGGGGGGTGGGGGGGTAGGTGAGGAACTGGGTGAGGGAATTGCCTTTGAAATGAGATTATTCAGAACTCTGCAGGTCGTGTCCTCTCCTGCTCCAGGTTCAGCGAACCGATCACCATCATCCTTGCCCGGTTTCACTGGCTCCCCAACCCTCATTCTCACCTTCAAAGTCCTCCACAGTCCTGCTCCCCAAAATCTCTCTGACCTCCTAACCCCATATCAGCCTGTTCGCTCCCTCCGCTCAGCGGACACCGTTCTGCTTCAGGTCCCCCATGCTTTCCACCCCACCATTGGCGATCGGGCATTCAGCATCTCAGCCCCCACACTCTGGAACTCTAATGCGCAATCCCTCCATCTCACCCCCTCCCTTGCTTCCTTCAAGTCCCGTCTAAAGACCTTCCTCTTTGAATTGTGCCTTTGGTCACTTTCCCACCTCCGCTGCCCTCCACCCCTCCTGACCGCAACTTCCAGCTCGGCTCCAAAAAACCCTGATTGGCCAGAGCCCCAGGATGTCTTCCTTATGTGAAGAATGCTATATAAGTGTAATTTGTTGTTGTTGTGATGAAGAGGTTCTGGAATGATCAGGGTTTGGGGGATGTGGGTGGAGAGTAGGGGTTTATTTTGCCGAGATGGCAAAGTGGGGATTCTTGGCTCTTCCCAATCGGGGTGGGAAGGACATGCCCTTCACCATTCTCGTGGGCAATCCCCACTCTCTTTTTCCTGCCATTCCGAAAGCCATTAGATGGAGCAAACCTGATTTGAATTTCCCGCTCCAGAACTTCTTTGGTCTATGGACCGAGTCCACTCACTATGCAAGTGGGCAGCCTATTCACACCCAGCAATATCCTGCCATAAAATGGGTGATCTACTTGTAATCCCAATTTAGATGCTAAATTGAAGGACGGCATTTCCGACAATACAGTGCTCACCCCACACCCAGCATTGCATTGGAGTGTCAGCCAGGACTGTGAACTCAAATTCACAATGCGAGACTTGAACCCACAAGCTTGTGACTCCAAGGCGAGGGTGCTTCCCACTGAGCTAGGCTGGCACTTTGCGATATCTCTGGGCAAATCAAATGCAAATATGCTTTATTGTAATTGTGGTGTCAGGAGAGCGCAAGCATTCTGCTCTTAAGGCTCTGACCGAGAGTTTTGATTTGCAACGGATGAGAATGTAGCTTTAAAAATATTATCTCTGCCTACATGTCAAAATAAGGTGTGGAGATCAATGACGCACTGTGGATAAGTGGACCTCACCCACTCAAGTCAGGTTTAAGGTGTGACAGTGCTTCTCTTTACATTCGGTAACTGTCTGAACATGCTGAGCGGGTGTCTGCTCCAGGGGCCGTCAGCATCAGGATGTCAACGTCAGACACAACACTGGGAACAAAGCAACTTCCAGGCCATCAGCTGTTTCACCAGTTCAATGGAAAGCCAATGCCAAGCCTTGCCTAAGAAAATAAGTAGTAAAAGTATGGAACAGGCTCCCCAGGGAATCGATGGGTGGAAGCAGAAAGTGTTGTTTGTTTCAATAATATATCAGATAGATTTCTGCTAGAAAATAATATCTCAGGATACAGTATATAGTTTGGGACACAACACGACAGGATGGTGGGAGGTCCAGTAGATGGACGTTGCTCTTCTTCCACCCAGCAAGTTCTTACGTTCTTCTGTGGTTGTAGCTGGTTCGATTCCAGCAGTACCCCAATGCACCTCTGGGGTCCCCAAGCCTCGACTCTTGCTAACTTATGGCTAATACTTTCCAGAGTTAGGTAAACAGGATGTGTCCCTCCAGGGAGAGAGTGCGCATTCCATTCCAACAATCTATCTCTGGAATTTCCACGTGTAGGTGGGATGCCTGGAATTCTCAGTTTGGTTTGGCTCCTCTTAAGCAACGGTGATGGGTTTCCACATGTGTCAGACACCTGACTGACCTAAATAAAATCACCAGTTTATGAGATTGTGGCAGATCTTTTAATCTAATTCTCCCACTTTTTCTCTAATTCCCTTACGAATAATAATCATAAAAATCCTTGCATTTGATATAGTGCCTTTCCCAATGGGAGGACATCTCAAAGTGCTTCACAGGATTTACTGTATCGTGATGTGCACTATGCAGGAATGTACAGTGTAGTGACTGTGTATTTTTGTTGGTGAAACACAGCAGCCAATTTACACACAGCAACATCACACAAACAGCCATCAAGTGAATGATCATTTTTAGTTGTTGGCCAGGACGGCCGGAGAAACTCTCCTCTCTTTTCGAGTAGTGCAGTGGGATCTTTAGTGCCACCAGAAAGGGACAGATGGGAACTTGGTTTAACCCCTCATCCGAAAACTACAACACCTCTGACAAAGTAGTGCTCCCCCCTACATTGTATTGGAGTTTCAGCCTAGACTAAATGATTTCAAAGTCCCGACATGGGGCTCGAACCTACAACCTTCTGACTCAGAAGCGAGAGAGCGCAACTAACTGAGTCAGGCTGACACCCTATGGGATATGGAAGTATTATTGATTATCATTAATATAATTATTATCCCACCCCTAGCTTGGATGCAAACCCAGGACTGTCCAGCATCTTGAGATGTCCTCCTGACGTGAAAGGCGTTATAAATATGTATATACACAAAAAGTGTGGGCACTCAATCCACAACTGTTTGTGGGACACTGCTGTACGCAATTGGCTGCCATGTTTCTCTCACAAAATACAGTCAATCCACTTCGCAATATATTGTGTGAAGCGCTTTGAGAAGTCTCAACAAAGTGCTAAGGTGCTATATGCTATAAATACAAGGATTATTATTTTTTGTTGTTGTATTATTCTTATTCTTATTGAGCACGTCCATCTGCTCCGTGATAATACGAGCCCTGGCTGTATGAGTCTACATTTCCCTTACAGTTTGACAGATGCTTGTTCTGTGGGAAAAGGAGCCACTCTTCCCTGTCCCGAGCACCATAAAACTGTAAATGAATTGCACCTTGCCAGCACAACATAATTCCAGGATGTGACCTTCCTCTCTGATCCGGGCCTAAACTCCACCACTCAGCATAGTTTACATGGAGAGTAAAGAGAAAATATTACAACATGCGTGCTTGTGTAGAGTATAAACACCGCTAAGGACTAATTGGGCTGAATGGCTTGTTTCCGTGCTTTTTCTATCTTTAAAGCCACCTTAAAGACCTACCTCTTCAACCGTGCCTATAGTCACCTAACCCCTACCCGCTTCTCCCAACCCTGGAATGGTGCAGTATTCCGAGACACTATCCTGTGTGATGGGTGCTCCTTAAATGAATACATGTAGCATCACTTTGTGCAACTCTATGTGATGTGGAGGAGGAGACTTATTCAATGATGTGATCTGGACCAGTTTTTTAATTACCACCATGAACACCATCATAGTACTTAAGAGCATCCAAACCAGACAGAGTTCTACATGTGCGTCGCCTACACATGGAAATTCTCGTGCCTGCAATGGAATGCGCACTCTTTCCCCAGAGGAATGCACATTCTGCATACCTAATTCCTGCAAGTTTTAGGCATAAGTTGGTGAGAGCCAAGGCTTGGAGTTGGGGGTGAATTCTACCCCAATCACAACAAATTAGATTGAATCTACAGGATGTCCACAAAGTCATGTTACCCCATGTGTTTTTCCTCTACAGTGCACTGACCAACAATTGAAACACTTGGAAGAATGATGATAATTGTATTTAGAAGTACTTTTTTATATTCAATACAGGGAGTAACAGGACTTTGTGTCCACCCTGTACAGCACAAAAAAAAACCATTGGGCCCAACTGTGTCAGAGTTTATACTTCACATGAACCTCCATCCCTCCTAACCTTCTGTATTAGCTTTACCCCTCAAAGGTTTGCACACTGAGTTTCCTCGTATATATAGTGCTGTTCTTGGTATACAATCTGTAAAGACTATGAGGATTTCGGATCTGAGATTTCTTCAGTGCCGTAGTGGACGAATAGAGAGACAGACGTACACACAGACAGCCAGGGGAAATCTTAGAGCTACACTCACCCCTCTTTTGCATAAAACTGAACAGGTCATCCAGAAATTCTTTCCTCTTCGGATCGTCATCCAGCTCATACAGCTGAAAGAGAACAGAAACAAAAATAGTTATCAGCTCATTTTTTAGTGGCATGGCAAAAAGTGAAAGGTGTAATTGGTAATATCAGGCATTATAATACTACTGCTACTACTACTAATAATAATACTGCTAATAATCATCCTTGCATTTGATCTGGGCTTTATCACCTTGTTGTTACATCTCAAAGCAATCCACAGGATTTTACTGTGAAGAGTAGCGACTGTGTATGTGAACTTGGCTTGCAGCCAATTTGTGCACAGCAATGTCCCATAAACAGATATGAAGTGAGTGACTAGTTTTATTTGGGGGATTGTTGGACAGGACACTGGGGCTTTGAACTCATGTATTCAGTTCAGTGCCAGGGGAGTGTTGCATTGTTGGGAGATGCCATCCTTCGGATGAGACGTTAAACACAGGCCTTGTCTGCCTGTTCAGGTGGACGTTAAAAAAAATACCAGAGTACAATTGAAAAAGAGAAGGGAGTTTCTTCTGGAGTCCTGGTAAACAATCCCCAGATAGGAAGTTGGTCATTCACTTCATGGCTGTTTGTAGGACATTGCTGTGCACACATTGCTTGCTGGGTTCACCTACAAAATATACAGTCATTTCACTTTACAGTATATCTTTGAGACATCCTCCTGAAATGAAAGACACGATACCAAATGTAAGGATTATTATGATTATCATTGATTCAATTTGACGTCACAAGCATTGGATCAAAGGATTATTATTAATTGAAACAGTAAGATAAGACTGCTGTACTCTAGTGTATTTGAAGTCTACTAGCATTGTATTGTTTCATTAATAAATAAGGAAATGTATAATAATAATAATAATACTTCCATTTGACACAGCGCCTTATCAGGTCAAAACGTCTGAAAGCATTTTACTAAGTGAATCACTTTGAAGTTCAGAGACTGTTGTCATGTAGGTAAACACAGCCTTTAGTCTTTGTCAGCCATAGAACAGCAGTGATATGAAGCACTATATTTAATTATTTGGTGAATTTAGATGAGAGAGCAATTTTGGCCAGGACATTGGGAGAAACTCCCTTCTCCTTTGTCAAAACAATGCCTTGGGACCGTTAAATATCCAAAAGAAAAGGCAGAAGGGACCCCAGTTTAGTGTGTCATCCTAAAGAAAGCCATTCCGACAATGAGCACTCTTTCTGTACTGGACGTCAGTAAATACTAACTAGGTTTTAGCACTAATCATTGCAACTGTAGTAAGAATAACAATCCCTGTATTTGACATAGCACCTTATCACCTCGTTGAAATGTCTCAAAGTGCTTTGCAGGATTGACCGCATAGTGTAATGATTGCTTATTTATAAGCCAACGCGGAAACCAATTTGATCACAGAACCTTCCATCCCACAATGAAGTGAGTGAGGAATTTTATCCGGGGGATTGTTGTCCTGGATTCCAGGATAAACTCCCTTCTCTTTTCGATAAGTTTCACTGCGATCTTCCGTGTCCTGAATTGGCAGCGAGTACCTTGGCTTTAACATCTCACCCAAGGGATATATTACAGTGCTCCCCCACTGGAGTGTCTGCTGGGAGCTGGGATTCTTCCCACTCAACTCCTGTTAACCCTGCGAGCCAAAGCTCTAAATGGTAGAATGGTTCTAGCTGAACAAGCAGTGGAACACTTTCCAGACAGTGCTCTCAATAGCAAGCTGTTTGAGCTGGTTAAACTCCAGAAGTGCCCAAACGTATACTCTGGGATGCCCCAAGCCTTGGATCCTACCAACCTGGACCAAATACCCAGACTTTGAGCTTGAAGACTCAACGTGGAGCTTGAACCCCAATGAATTAAGATCATTTAAAGGGTCAAAATTTAATCCAGGTGTCAAAATTTAAGTATAGTACCACATGCAGTAACTACTACCAATGACAAGCACCACAGATAGACAGTATTGCAAAGTACCATAAATACTGTGGTCGTTAAGTACTACGAACAGTAAATAGAATGAATGGCTGGAACTATTGACGCTAACTACAGTATTATGAATAGTCAGAAGTACGAGAGTGAGGCCCTGAATACTAAGCTCTATGAGCGCTAAGTATTATGAAGTACGTAGTATATCCTGTGAAAGACTATTGTTATAGAAGAGACTCCTACACAATACTCAACAACTTGCATTTAGTTAAAACCCGTCATGTAAGTTAACGTCTCGGACTACTTTACAAGGGGGTGGGGGGGGTCAGACACGAGCAAGGGGAGAGGAGGTGGGGTGCAGGGAAAGAGGGAAGTGACTTTAGGCACATTGAAAGAGGTAGGTTTCAAAGTGGGACGTAAATGCAGCCAGAATCAGTTTAGTTCACAGCGAACTAGAATCTCCGAGAGGGAAAAAGTCAGACAGGCAATAACAAAGACAGATACACACTGTTCTCTCAGATAGGAATGAAAATAACATAGTGGGTGGAATGAGATGCGGTGGGGGGAGGGGGCGGGCAGGGGGATGGTGAGGGCTTGCGCTGTTATGTGAGAGTGCAAATCAAAACTGTTATTGTTAACAGCAAGTGACTGACTATGTGACAGCCTGTGAGTTTAACAGCTGTATATACTGGACCAGGCTCACCACCAGCCACTGGTTCTGAGCCTGTTTTACTGCACTCCTCATGGGACGAGCAAACTAGTGACTTTCTTTATTGGGGGGGAAGGTAAGCCGGGTCTCCTTGGAACTAACCTGGCTCCTAGGTGACATGTTTGGCAACGGAATGTCAGAATCAAGTCAACCCTCTGTGGTGGTCTCGCTAGTCTGATTCCTGAGTCAGGTGGGTCCGCAGTATTTCAGGGCACTGCTGATGACGGCATAGCCAGCCTGACAAATCAGCAGGATTTGGAGGAGCAGACCAGTCACTAGGGCAGGGATTATTAACCCTGCAAGCCAAAGCCCTAATGGGTAAGATCGACAGGAAGCTTGCCAGTCAGTACTCTTAATGACAAGCTGTGGGATTTTAGATGGTTACACTCCAGAAGTTATTGCATCACACAATCTGAGGTCTCCCGAGCCTTGACTCTTGCCAACCAGTGTTCAATACTCTCAATGCATTTTCCATTCCATGAGTAGGTGGCATACATATGTGGAACCCTCTATCTGGTTTGGATACACCTAACTACGGTGATGGGTTTCTACACTTGTCATACAATGGGCTGACGAAGAAAACGCAATGAGCACAGAATTGAATAATAGTTCCTTCTGTGAAGTAGCAGAGATGGCTGTAAAGCTCTACCCCAATGAAAGGTAACAGGAGTTAAACACCTTCAGGAAAGAAGAGGAAGCAACAGCAACACCAAATTGCATTTATATAGCACCTTTCACTTCAGAAAGATATCCCAAGATGCTGGACAGTCAAGGGATTGCACTCAAACTGGTGGTTGGAATCAAAAGGGGTGGACGACAAGGGAGGTGATGGTGGGGGGAAGATCAAAGGCACAGTCAAAGAGGAAAGTCTTGAGATGGACCTTGAAGGAGGCCAAGGAGGGGGTGAGGTGAAGGGACTCACGGTTGGAGTTCCAGAGGGTGGGGGAGAAAGGCTGTAGGCCCGACCACCGATGGTGGAGCTGGCTGGGCAGGGGACGTGGATCAGGTGGAAGAAGTGAGCTGGTTGGTAAGGTTTTAGCAGGTCACAGAGGTAAGGAGGAGCAAGACTTTGGAGGGCTTTAAAAGTGAAGACGAGTATCTTAAACTCAATCCTCTGGGCGATATAGAGCCAATGAAGCCAGGCGAGGATGGGGGTGATTGGCTCACAGAGCTTAGTGCGGGAGAGGACATGAGCCGCAGAGGTTGGAGTAATCTGAAGCTTGTAGAAAGAAGAGTGGAAGTCTGGCAAGCAGGGTTTGGGGATAGTCAAACCTGGACATGATGGAAGCATGGATGAGGGTTTCATCAGCCTGATGGGAGAGATAATGGCAGAGGTGGACAATGTTGCAGAGTTTGGGGGAAGGCAGAACAGGTTATCGCATGGATATTGGATTTAAAGGACAGTTGAGGTTCAAACAAGATATCAAAGTTCCCGACTGACTCTGTGAGGTGGAAAGTGGATCTGTGACTCGTTTCGCCCACAAATATATGGTCAATTCACTTTACAGTCTGTGTAGTGCTTTGAGATGTCGAGAAAACGTGAAAAGTGCTATACCAAATGCAAGGTTATTATTATTAGTAATGCTGTCAGCGTCTGAGGTGAGGAGGTGATGACAGGAGCCAAGCAGGAGAGCCTCAGTCTTATCGACATTGAACAAGAGAAAGTTGGCTGTCATCTAGGACTTGATGTCTGAGTTATTCTGTCAGGATAATAATATAGCAATGGCCCTGGAGTTGGGTGTCATCTGCACAAATGTGGTAGCTAACCGCATGCCTGTGGATGATTTCACTGAGTGGGAGCATGTAAATATTAAAGAGGAGAGGAACAAGGACAGAGCACTAAGAAACGCCAGATGAGATGATGCAAGGGCTAGAGGAGAAGCCACTAGTTTGAGGGCTGAAGGCCCGACCGTCAATGGTGGGGCAGACAGGTTGGGGAACATGGAGCAGGCCAGAGTCCACTAAGCGGAAGGAGCGGATAGTGCGGTATTGATATCCCGGTGAGGGAAAGAATGGGATCTCCAGCACAGATTCTCATGACAAGGAGATTGTGTAACAGATTACCAATGTCAGATGCAGACAAAGGTAATGAAGTGGGCAATGTGTCAATGGGACGAACATCAGCAGAACACCAGGATCTGGTATGATGGGGCCTGCGAGAAAAGTGAACAGATAAGAGAGGGAGACAGAATAGGGTTTAGAGTAAAAAATGACACCAAGCTAATGTGGGGAAAAGGAACCACGAAGGAAGAAGGGAACTTACCCAGGCCACACATAATACAAGGAACAAAGAGAAAGATACACAGAAATAATACAAAGGACATAAGGTGAAGAAGTAAACAGATTGAAAAGGAAATTCAGAGTAACGCAGCTAGGACGATTCAGTTAGAAGTTTCACCCACAAAATATATATA